ATTCTCTTACAAATGTAAAATTGTTCCCAATTTTGTCAGTTAAAATGCAATACTTTTTAATGACCCATGTACATCACTGTTTTGCCAAGTGGGTCAAATAAATCATATTCCTTTAAAACATGTCCAGTCCACTTCATCTTCTCCAAGTAAAACATCACACATTTTTATAAGCTTGAATGTGCTTTCGTTTCTGAAAGAAGTCACTGACCTTTTCGAGGGCTGTAATCTGAACGGATGGCATGCCCGTAAAAAGTTCCTCCGTGGTGTGCACAGCTTTTATGAATATATCTAAACTCTTTGGGTCCTTATGTAACAGAGAAGCTGAATATTCATTATATTTTCCCAAGATGAGATGCAAGACAGTGGCCTCGTCTTTCAGGACAGCCGAGGGCTCCTTGTGGATCTTTTCTAGCAGTTGCTCAGCCATAGGCAACAGCTGAGCAAGCACCATCTGAAGTGTGGAAAGTTGATTAGTAAACAGTTACCACACTGGTACATGTTTTCTTTAACAAAAGTCTGCAAAGACATCCTGTTGGAAGACTGGGAGCTTAGCCTGGAGAAAACCCCCCAATAATGATGTCCTCTGGGACATGGGATGACTGTTAACCCAATTAAGTATTCAGGTCCCTTCTATAGCTTAGTCTACAATGAATGGTCAAAAAGCTCTACCCTTCAGGGATCAATGGAGAAACCTGAGTGTCCGAAGACTTTCTGAAAACAGGAAATACAAACAAAACTGAAGTTTTAGATTATAAACATTAATTTTAGCTTTTTCTAAAACACTACACCTTTCCCTAAGTGTTTCCAGCTTGGTATAATTAATATTAATGCAAATTATGTACGTGAAGGCTTTAACTAATGCCAGCAAAATATGGCTACTGGGCCCATCTGCTCACATACTGTCTCCACCACCACCGCCACAGAAGGCAGAGCTGAGCAGCTATATGAGACTGTATGCCCTGCGGGGCCTAAATTTTCACTACTTGGTTCTTTATAGAGTAAGATGGTCAATTCCTGTTTAAACTACACCCGGGATGACACAGAGCTGATAAATGCCATGTTTGCTCCCACCAGGAAAACACAGTCAGATGTACTATTCCACCCGTTAGTACGTCTCCACCTGCAGTCAGCCCGGAGCTGGGGAAGCACAGGCACTTGGACACGAGGACGAGGGAGTGGCGAGAGCAGCACACCCCGTCACGTCAACAAGGCCCTGGAACCCCGCTTCTGTACCACAGGTTTCCTTGACAACATAATGGAAGCTGTGGATTTCCACCCGGAAAGTGTACAACTTTAAAAAGTGAGCAAATGGTTTGGAAACTACCACAGCAACAGAAGGCAGAGGTGAGCAGCTGTATGAGACTGTATGCCCTGCGGGGCCTAAATTTTCACTACTTGGTTCTTTATAGAGTAAGATGGTCAATTCCTGTTTAAACTACACCCGGGATGACACAGAGCTGATAAATGCCATGTTTGCTCCCACCAGGAAAACACAGTCAGATGTACTATTCCACCCGTTAGTACGTCTCCACCTGCAGTCAGCCCGGAGCTGGGGGAGCACAGGCACTTGGCCACGAGGACGAGGGAGTGGCGAGAGCAGCACACCCCGGCATCAGGAAGGCCCTGGAACCCCGCTTCTGTACCACAGGTTTCCTTGACAACATAATGGAAGCTGTGGATTTCCACCCCAGAAAGTGTACAACTTTAAAAAGTGAGCAAATGGCTTGGAATGTCTGAATATATCACCTCGTGGAGGATTTTCACCGGAAGCACAGACCCAACCCAAGTTTTTCTGCAGCGCCCACCTCCTGTGGTTTCCCCATGTGATTTTAAAGCTCATTTAAAATCAAGTCGGTGATTAGACAGGGATAACACACAACTTTAAAACGGGAAGAAACGCACCAACATGTGCTTTTGGTTTCCCATGTATTTTTCTCCACCACGATGCTTCCCTCCCCAAATTAGTAAGAAAACGTTCATTCTGAAGGCGTGCATGTGACTCTGCCGGCCTCGCCGGTGCAGGCGTGTTACGGTGACCTGCCGTGACACCCCATGGCATCCGGTCCACTCACTGCACTCACCTCACTGTTGACCCCCTGAAGCACTTTCAGCAGATCTTTTGCAACATAAGATGGGCAACTAGATACACAGTAAAGCAGGTTTTTCAAAGTTTCAGACAACTTCTGGTGAGTTTTCAGTTTTTTCTCTCTCTGTAGTTCCTCAAACAAAGTAGCCAAATCCTAGGGAACCAATAAGAAAATTGGAAAAGAAGAGTTAAGGAACTATAAAGGTTAAATGTACTAATTATGGAGGGTCATTTTTCATTTCCCCTGAAACCTTAACAGGAAAAGACACTGGTGCCCCTTCGCTTACTCTCAAAAGCCAGGCACTTGTCTTCTAGCAGCTATCTTTAAAAAATGGGGGAGGAAGATGTGCAAATATTGACACATCAGTTTCTAAATTCAGAGACTAAACTCAAAATCCTTACAAAGCAAGTCAAGAACAAGGAAACCACTCAGGTGGACACAATGTGCGCGCACACGCAGCCTCCTGTGCGGATGAGCTACCTGGATGACGTAGGAGGCATCTGAGGTGACCTCTTCTGCTTTGGGAGTCACGTGCTCTATCACCAGGTGGAACTGGGAGGCCACGCCCCCAAGGGCCTGCAGACAGTGAACGGCCGCCCTCCGGACTTCCTTTATGGGGCTCCCCAGGTTAAGAAGAAGAGATGCCACTACTGAAACCAAAGGGAAAAAATGTAAATAACAATTTAAAGACAGAAAACAGTATAAAATTTAAATAGTACCCCGGAGTACATGATGAGAAGTTTTACTCCCAACTCACACTCCCTCTCCGAAGACCATTCACTGTATCTGGTATTCTAGAAAAATGTTAGACAGGTGCTGGTAAATTCTTTGGAAAGTACACAAATGAGAGCATAGTGTCGATACACTGTTCTGCAGGAACTGCTGTCGCACCTCAAAACATTCTGGGAGTGTTTTCCACACAAAACTAAATTAAACCATTCTTTTTAAATTGTACAGGTCTTCCCTGATTTTCCGTATGTTTAAAACTAGTACCTCACTGGAGAAAGTTTAGATTTCTAGACTTTTTGCATTAAAACCGCTGCAAACACCCCTGTACACACATCCTTCTACAATTGTGTGGAGGAAGTTGCCCATCAGTGCATCGTGCTTTACAAAGATTTTGTCCTGAATTGATGTTTATTGTGACTTTACTTGTCCTTTGCCGGAATTGAACCCGGGACCTTCAGTCCGCAGGCCAATGCTCTATCTACTGAGCAACACCAGCTAGGGCTGATTTTGTCCTGAATTGATGTTTATTGTGACTTTACTTGCCCTTTGCCAGAATTGAACCCAGGACCTTCAGTCCGCAGGCTGATGCTCTATCCACTGAGCAACACCAGCTAGGGCAAACTTCACTTTTCAATGCAGAAATTTTAGTTCAATACTGAATTATATTATGATGGTTTGGATTCATCACCTATCACTTCTATCATTTGTTTTAGTGAGATTTTGCAATTGACCTTTGTAACTTAAAAGCAATACTTAGAAGTAAACAGATAGCTTATTTAGTTGAGGGGGGTGGGGTAACATGCAAAATCTATAAAGAAGGAATTCTCCAAACGACAACCCACATGTACCACCCACAGAGAAGGCTGAAGCGCAGCCACAACAGGAGGTGACAACGCCCCGGAAAATCTACAAAAAAGGAATTCTCCAAACTACAACCCACATGGACCACCCACAGAGAAGGCTGAAGCGCAGTCACAACAGGATGCGACAACGCCCCAGAAGTACCTGGGGAAGACATGGAGGCCAGCTGGGCTTTGCTCTGGGGCTTTTGCGAGGCCAGCACTGCACAGCCCATGTACAGGGCCTGAGTCTGTAGCGCTGTCTTCACGCGGCAGCTCAGTGGATTTGAAAGGCTAGACCCATAGGTCCACACAACAGAAAGGAACTTGAATAACTGAGAAACATCTTCTAGATGTACCTAAATTAAAACAACAACAAAAACCAGTGAAGTTTAAATTCTACTAAATATAGGTTGGTTTCTAGTCCTTTTCCCTAGTGTACAATTATAGAAAAAAACCCCATAACTGAGAAACATCTTCTAGATGTACCTAAATTAAAAAAACAGAACAGTGAAGTTTAAATTTTACTTAATATAGGTTGGTTCCTAGTCCCTTTCCCTAGTGTACAATTATAGAAAAAAAACCCCAAAAACTTTATTACAGTATTTTGCTTTGTCTAGCCACTTCCCCTTACTTATTCTACACTTGGTAGTTTAGCAAACTGGGAAGTATGCAAATAAATTCAGAGGACTGATATTCAGAGGACTCGCTATAGCTTGCACTTGAACACATTTAACAAACAAAAAACCGATCGAGTACTCTAAGCAGAACAGCGAAAAGAGTGGTGTCAGGAAGTCCTGCGAAGACGGAGCGAACACTGTCCACTGTGTCAAACGCTGCTCAGGAAGCAGGCAGACGAGAACAGAGCACTGACCTCTGGCCCAGGCAGCACGGAGGTCACTGGTGCTGTGACGAAGTTTCTTCCCTGAGTGACTCTGAATACACTCAATCACCTCTCTGAACATCAATTTCTCGTGGGCAATGGCATGAACCCACCAAGCAGACTGATTACACATGTGACCAGGCCTCGCCCACCGGGAGGCAGGCGGCAATGTCAGTCTCGGTCAAACCTCCTGACTGGAGCCCTGAGCACAGCGCTGCTTGGCAAGGCCAGTGTTTACCATCAAATGCTCTTTGCTGTTTAAAAGTCTACTTTCACTTTCACTCAAAACGGTCATAACTAGAATATCTGCATTACTCGAAAGGGAAGAGTAAGCCTGAGAGGCGGCTCGCACCTTCATGAACAGCTTCATCAGCACCCTGAAGTGCGTGCTGTCGGCCCCACTGAGTATGATCTCGAAGAGCCCGACGAGCAAGCGCAGGTAGTCTCTGCCGTCTTCCTCCAGGCGGTCAGGGTTCCACCACACGCCACCTACACGTACGTGATGAAAGAGACCGTGCGTGACTTATGTGAACGCTGCTGGGCCTTTTCACTCAACACAAGCCCAGTCGTGGATCCAAGAATTCCGTCCCCCAGGGTATCACATTCAAAAGATTCCCACCTTGTCCTACCTTTAGGAAAAGATTTAGGCGCCTTCAGTGCATGAATAAAGTTTTTCAGCGAAAACAGGAGTAACACCGAGTCCTCCACGGCAATCCTCTGGGCAGTGCGGACCTGCTGGATGTAATGTGCCCACAGCTGCACTGGCACCCCTCTGTCCAGCACCAGCTCAGCATGCCATTCCGGGGGCACTTCCTGAAATGGCAAGAAACAAAGACAGCACAGATTTAAAGAGGCCCACAGGCGGACTGCAGTGATGTATGCGGCTGAATAATATGGGAACTTTGGTCTGTATGTGAATTTAGGTGAGAATAACTTGAATCAGGTTTTTAAAGAGGTCTAACATGTTTACAAGACAGAAATGCGTTAACCATGGCCTCACTTTACCTACATTTTCTTAAAGTGCCAGCTCTAAAAACAAACGTGGTCCATATCAATTGTGTTTATGAGATGGCACCTCTCTAAACAGAAAGAGGAGTTGCATTTCCAGGAGATCCGTAAATGGACTGTTCTCCTTTCACATTTTTACTGCCAACCTGAAGACGATACATGGTAACATCTCCACCCCTGCCAGGTGATTCTAAACAAGTACCAAACCGCTACGGTCTTTAGGAATTATACTGTACATGCCAAAAGGAGGCAGGAAAAAAGGTGCAGGAAAATGATAAGAGGCTGCATACAGGCGCGTGCAGAGTAGTAACTTGGACAAAAACAGTCCAAAGCCAGACTCACATGATACAGTTGTCAGTGAATTCTTGGCTCAATGTGCTGCCACGGCCAGAAGGTGCTCATGACTCTCAGGTGATTTTCTGCTTCATTAAATACGAAGCAGAAAATCACCTGTCCCTACATATATCGAAAACACGCAATTTGTCCACCCTTTTGCACTGAGAACAAATACAGTCCAGGCCATAGCACTTTTACAAAAGATAACAAAGAAGTTAAAAAGGGCCTGCCTAGGCTAACTTTTTCAAATGTAAAGATTTATTCCTTTACAGTTTACATAACTTTAGCTATGTGTGGCCATGACCAGAACTTACAAAATCCTAAGGGTACCTGTCAATGTGAAAAAGATGTAATTCGTTTGGAAGACAATGAACAAAATACTATTATATAGGGAAGATATTATTTATTTTTGTTGTTGTTTTGTGCTTTGTTTTTATTTGCTTTTTGTTTGTGTTTTTGTTTTTGACTGTCTGAAATTTCTATAACCTTGCTCCGGATGCAGCAGGGCAAGGCCTCAAACCGTTCCAAAATGTTCTAGCAAGCACTGTAGGAATGCACAGGGTCACCCCAGACCCAAGCACGCTGGAGGCTTGCAGTCTAGGGCAGATATCAAAAGAAACAATCTATTACCTCAAGATGTGGTACTAAGTAAAGATATAAACTAGTAACGTAGGAACACTCAGAGACAGCCAGCAGTAGGCCTGTGAGAGCCAAGTCTAATATAACACAGGTCTATTTTCAGTAAACGGAGCACCAGGAGTCTTTTGTTCAAGCACAGACACATGCAGTGAATTCACCACCACTAAAGGCAGTCCGGTGCAGCTTAACCAATTAACTACCCAGTAAAGATGACACAGACACAACACTGCGACCCTGAAATCTAGAATTTTCGGCAAAAGGAAGAGAGCACCGGATCCACTCTCTACGGCTGCCAAGGCTGCTCCACATTCTCTCCAGCCCCGAGCAGCCAGCACCTGGGCCTCCTGACGGCCCGGCCACTTGCCGCTCCGCTCATCACACAGCTTCCCAGGCACGCGCCTCCTTACCACTGCAGTCATGACACTTTCCAGCTTCTTTATTTTTTTCTGCAGCAAACTGAAGACTCTTATCGCAAATGGAAAGTGAGTTCCTTTTGAAGATGAACAGCAAGAGACAAGCACGGCCATGATCACGTGAAAAGTCACTTTCTGCTTCAGGCTAAAGGACTCCTTTTCCCCAACGCTGATTAAATCCTCCACCTTCAAAGACAGACAGGGTCCATTACTGGTCGCTCTTGGTTTGCGCCAGTTTTCTCTCCCTAAGGCCTACCCTAGGAATTGTGTTTTGCATGTCAAGTCAGATGACAAATATAAAGCGTGAAAATAGTAGTACGTACTAATTTCTAAGTAATTATAAAAATAATAAATTCCAGAAATTATAATGAACATAACTGTACTTGCCAATTGGATAAATGTTTTTAAATCACAAATCCAAATACCTTTACAAAGGTATATTTTCTACATCAAAAGAAATTTTCTCCTCCTTTAGATATTTTGCTATTTTAACAAAAATATAACTTTAATATTTTAAATGAGAGGGGAAAAAAGGAAGTGAAAAAGTATGTATTATTCTTTCTGGTCCAATATGGAATCACAATGAAATAAATTAATAAAATGTTAAGGATTTTTAACAATCTGCAGAATATATGATACAACACTATATATGTCTAGAGCAAAACAAATTACTCAAGAATGTAAAAGTTATATTAATAAAATAAATTAAAAAAAGAAGAATCCAGTAAAGCAAATACGGAAAATTAAATAAGATTACAAGAATGAAATCTGGGCGATGAACTTCAACAGCAGACATACCAGCTTTAACACCGAAGAAGGATCCCCTGAATTTATATTGTCAGCCAACAACTCAATCATCTTCTGATTTGCTATACCAATTAGTTTGCCGGATTTTGTGCTTTTAATCACATTTTCAAGAGCTGTGAAAAAAAAAAAAATTTAAACACAGGGCCCTTATGCCACCAACACTCACCTAAAGAATCATGTAGAGTAAGGAGCCTAAGGAAAAATTTTTACAATTTTCCTATAAAAGGTTTGCTTTTTATTTTTCCTTTTACACAATTCTGAATTTGTGAGTCAGTTTCTTTCTCATTGTATATATTTTATCTCAGCAAAAAATTTTTAATCTTGCTGGCATACAATAAACATGATTTCAAATAACAAGTATGGCCAATTTTTAATTGTACTTATCTTCTTTTTAAAGTGTTATCTGTTCATTTTTTCTAAAAAGCGACTGAATTTCTCACCTGCTTTCCAGCCTCTTAGCACAGGGTGCAGAGAGCAAATTCCTGACTTGGATAAATAAATAGCGAGCTTCGTCTCGGCCGACTCCAGGTCATCACTGTCAACGACCATGAATGGAAGCAGATGCACCACCACCTGGTTTGCCAACTCATCGTTTCCACTCAGCGTCTCTTCTTTAATCAGTATGTCTGCTGCCACCTCAAGGACCTCATACCTAAAACATATAAAAGCACGTTTGGCTCAGAGACACCTTAGAGACTTCAATTCAGCAAAAAATCATTACACTGTTCCAGCTCCAGTGACATCCTCATCTCCACATAAAATACGTTATTCAGAAACACCAGGATGATCACTTAAAATCCATGCTAATAAAGGAATTATTTGGGACAGTAATTTTAAACTAACTGTCAAGCCTTTTTTTTTTTGGAGAAATCACATTAGGTTGATATAACATAAAACTTATCACAATACATATATATATCTTATCTCCACTAGAAATCGGAAATTCATTCATGAGTTCAAAAATTCTCTGAACACATACTACGTGCTAAGAATTAAATACCATGGATACAAAACCCTGCAAATACGTTCTCTTTCTCTAAGGAGCTTAGTGGTTGAGCATCAACGCATGAACCAGAGGTCACAGTTCCATTCCCAGTTACGGCACATGCGCGGGTTGTGGGCTCGATCACCAGTAGGGGGCATGCAGGAGGCAGCCAATGATTCTCTCTCATCACTGATGTTTCTATCTCTCCTTCCCTGTCCCTACTTTTCTGAAATCAATAAAAATATATTAAAAAAAAAAAAAGAAAGAAAAGAATTTCACCAATTCAAAAGTGTATGAGGAGAAAGGAATACATACCATGCCCTATTTTTTGAAAGTTCTGCTCTTTGAAAGAGATTCAGAAGATTTGAAACAGTCACTTCTGGACTAAAGTGGCTCTTGAAAATCTAGGGAAAGAAATATCCTGAATAAATTTTTACTTGCTTCAAGTACATACGGTGCTTATTAAATGAACTTCAGAAAATAATGAATTACAAATAATTTATCTCCCAGGAATCCTAGGGTAATTTTAAAATTCTATGAGAGCCATTTCTCAAAAGTGGCATTCACGAGCCAATCTCCCATAACCCCAAGGTAAAATTCACAAAGTGCAATCTCATGCCTCTCATGAGCTCTCCCCAACCAGGCTTACGTCTGTGCTCTCGAGAGAACAAATTTACAATGGAAGAATAATTTTCAAATATATTCCTGCCTACAGCAGAGAATCACGTGAGAAGGGCAGGAAAATATTTACCAAAAAAATGTGCATTTCAATGAACAACAAATTCACTCACCTCAAAAGCACTTATTGCCGACAAAACGACGTCTATACTATCATCACCTAATCGGGTTAAAATAGCTTCTTTTATGAAAGACTCATCGATACTCTCCTGAGCAAGAGAAAAAAAATATTTAGTTGTTGCTAAAACCTTGTAAGACTTACACCAGAAAGGAGGCTGGGTTTGTGGAAAGCGCTCCAGAACACAGTCATGGACAACAGGCTCTGCCCTGAATGCAAACGCAAACACCCTGGGCACACTGCCCTTGAACCAGACAATCTCGAAAAGGCCTTTTGAGATGAGTTCACCATAAGGATAAAAACATCACAAATGAAAGCTATTTGACACCAACCTTTGATGTTTTCATGATATTTTTCAGATGATTAACGGCCAGAAGTCTCACAGGGGCGAGTGGGTGATTCAGACTGAGCACCAAGGAGGTATTGGAATCTGCTAAAAACTAAAGGATTCACCACAATTACCAAATGATTCACCACTAAATCCTAGCAGCATAGGATCAAGAATAAAAACCAGAGAAAACCACCCCAAACTGCCCCACACACTCAGTAACGACTGTCCAATTTCAGAAACCAAAAAGGAAAGCAAAACCTTGGTCTCCAGAACATGGTATGGCTTATAACAGATGAAAAAATGTGTGTTGTTAATGCTATGATTTCCTGTATGCTTGTGTCTAAAAGTAGGTTTAACTTAGTAACTCAATGAAGTAATTTTGTGTACTTTATATATATGACTAGAGGCCTGATGCACGAAATTCGTGCAAGAGTAGGCCTTCCTTCCCCCGGCTGCCAGCACCGGCTTCCCTCTGGCACCCGGGACACAGGCTTCCCTCGAAGCCCCGGCTTCATCAGGAAGGATGGAAGGACATCCAGAAGGATGTCTGGTCTAATTAGCATATTATGCTTTTATTATTATAGATTCCAAAGTGAAAAACACCTGAGGTAAGTTATTATATTAACACCTTAATGAAAATTAAACTAAAAAAACTGATCACTGAAGACAGATGCAATTCCTCTAAATGATACAATAATAACACTCAAATTAGTAACAACCTACTTCACTTATGTAATTGGACTAAAGAAATCTGTATACCAAGCTAAGATTTGAAAATGAAAGATGAAAGTCTAATTAGGAGGGAGAAAAACCAACAATGATGTCTCTTGATAATATTTATTTTCAAGGCTAATTATAAGAGCTGCTTAAATGTTTAACTTCTAGTATAAAGATTTAGGATGAATCACCAGAAAACTTCTGAAGTTCTAACATGATCATGAAATAAAAGTCCACCTCCTTTTTTCTGATCAATGACTTAGCCTCCCTGGGTGACTGCACCACATGGAAAGTGCAGACAGAGGGGAAAGGTCAGAACACTACAACCTGAGTGAGGCCACCCTTTGGTGACTACTACTGAGCATCATACATAGAATTTCCAAACACTAAGTTTCCTGAAATAAGTACCACATTCAGTTCAAGTCCGGTACTTTTCTCCTGGTATTCAATCCCTGCCTCACAGCCTTACCTCAATAACTAGGCAAAACTGTAAAATCTCATCTCTCCATAAAACACTCCAAAGAGAGGAGTGAAATAGCCCATTTCCTCCTGAGTTCTTCAAATACACAGATATAGCACGAACTGCCTCAATTCCTCTGAAGAAAAACTCACCTGGTACTTCCCTCCACTTGTAGAAAGAGAGATAAATTGGTGAAAAAGTTCTTGTTTTTTTAGGTCTGTAATTTGCTTTAGGTGTTCCTCTAAGACAACGTCTAACGTTCTAGGATATCTGAGAAGAAATTCAAAGAGTTAATTCATATAAAAAATAATACAAAGTTATGAACCACACGTACCCTATATGTATCAAAGACATAAATAAAAGTTTTAGAATTACCGATTGAGACTAAAACTTTAACAGCTAGAATATGTAAAACCAAGTGATATCGATCAAATTAGTTCCTGTGATTTACTACAACAAAAAAAGTCTCTCAATAAAAAAATTATCCTCTAATATTTGAAATATATTTAAATCCTATACTGTCCCTTCCTGAAGGGGAAAAAAAAGACAGAGTCTTTATAACTCATTTACTATATTAAAATGAAGCAAGAGGCACACATTAACAAAACAAGAGGCACGAAGACACACAACTTACTTGCTTTCTAAAAGTCTGATAAGTGGAAGAAACTGTTCATTAAGCAAAGATGCTTTATTAGGATCGATTTCTTCCTGTGAATTATATGAAATATACTCTTCAAAAAGAAGGCTGCAAAACAAAGCCAGGATTAGCAGACATGAGAGTTACTGTGTGAGTACCTACCATGTCCTAGGTGGTTTAGAAATATTATCTCTAACTCTCATCACCTCCAGGTAGAAAACTACTTATTTCACAGATACAACACTAGGGCTATAAGCCCTATACCCTGCCTGATGTCAAACAAGACCAGACACAGCCACTGCCCTGGTGAGCCCCACTGTTCCTTTCAAAGGTGAGCTCCTAGTGTGATTCCAGAGCCCAAGCTCCCAACGACTTTACGTGCACACTCCCCTTCCATTCACAAGCCAGTGCTGGGAGCAAGAGCAGGAATGAGGACACACCAGCACGTGGGCACCGGGCCCATGTCACACAAGGGCAAACCTAGATCTGGGCAGCCTGGCTTCCAGAACTGCCTACCCTACTCTCCTGGGAAGAACAGGGGTAGGGTTCAAGTTCACATCTCATCGCTATGCCTACATTCTTTGCACTGTATCAAGCTGCCCTTTAAGCAAGAAAAGAAATGGGAAACTGAACTATTTTTACAGAAAAGGAAGAAATAACTTTCACTTGATACCAATCCTTAGTAGGAAGCTTCTAGGTGAATACCAATTGTTTCAGGCATTTTAGTCCCTTTATGTTTAGGAAACTAAACAGATACAATTTACATGAAGCTATAACCCCAATTTAGCTTAACTATTAACTTTTCATGATCAGGTATAAGCACTAAAGATAAGCAAGAGAAATTACTTTTTCTGTTGTCACAATTACTGGACTAAATACTTATGATAATACAAATTAAAGGCATGTTAGAAATAACCACTTACCTAGCCAACAAATGGTCTAAGTTGTTCTTCAGTGATATGTGTGTAAGTATAGCTTCCAAGTGTTTCCTGTAGATTTGACCATCCATCCCTTCAGTTTCTTCTCCTTAATATACATGACAAGTTAAAATTGATTGGGGAAATGATTTTTGCATGCTTATACTATTATATTCACTTAGAGCAGAAACTGTCCTACAGGAATAACTTTAAAACATGTACACTAAAACTCACTTTTTTGGGGTATTTTAAAAATCCATTTTCAAAATTGTCTTTCACATATTTTGTCATTTATATTTTTCAAAGCATTTCTGCATCTAAACTACCCTCATTTATCCTTTATCTGAAGTTCTATGTACTTTTATGAAAAGGATGATCATGCCTAGCTCTTTAATGAAACAGAAATCCAAAAAATATAGTCTTTCTCCAGATCTCATTACAAATAGTTGAAGTTGGGACCTGAACCTAGATCTCATTAAACCTTCCATGGTGACTATGTCTGAAGATCCCCAGTGGATGCCTGAAACCTTGAATGGTACCGAACACTATATATTCAACGTTTTTTTTTCTATACAAACATACCTGTGATAAAGTTTAATTTATAAGTTAGGCACAGAAAAAGATTAACAACAACTAATAATAATAAAATAAAACAATTAGCCGGGTTGACATGGCTCAGCGGTTGACTGTTGACCTATGAATCAGGAGGTCCCGCTTCAATTTTCAGTCAAGGCACATGCCCGGGTTGCAGGCTCCATCTCCAGTAGGGGGCGTGCAGGAGGCAGCCAATAAATGATTCCCTCTCATCGCTGATGTTTCTATCTCTCCCGCTCCCTGACTCTCTGAAATGAATAAAAATCTATTTAAAAAGAAAAGGTCTGAGCATAGGCATGGCTCCTATTTGAAGAGAATTAAATATTAGAAAACACGTTCTGATACATAAAATGGAAACCACGTACCTGTAACGTGATTAATGATGGAGACGACCAGATGCGGAAGCATGTACCGCAGAAGAGGACTGATGTCGTATGTTTCAGAAATCCCATGCAGTATTGTAATAAGATCAGGAACATTGCACAAGTGAGGAAATGGCCTTTGAAGAAACAAGTATATAAGGTGTTGACTTAACAAGTTACACAATAAATAGCAATTTATCTTAAAAAAAAAAAAGATTTAAAGTAACGTCAAAAAAACATCTAATTATCATTTCTCAATTCAAGGGTACGTACTTTTTCCCTAGACTATCTGGCTTCTGCCTCTGCAGCAGCACTATCAGGCAACCCAGTCCCTCCTTGATCAAAGAGGGGGTTTTCGTCAATGTTTTGATGATCTGTGAGGCCAATGAATTGACGACGGTATCTTCCATGGTCACTTTCACAGAAATCTGACATATTATCATATACGTTGCAGCTCTGTAATCTGGTAAAGATGATTTCAATCCCTAAATATTTTTTAAAATATAAGGAAAAACAATGAACTGTATATTATTTTAGTCTACTTAAAATGTCACTTTACCTTGACAAATTAGAAATGCCATAAACTGGAGATTAATACTACCTAATGCACACCCCTCAGAAGTGAAAAATCAAGATGCTGACCCCTTTCCTGAGGGACACAGAGAAGACAAGTCTCTCAGACGAGAGGAGGGATCTCAGAGGGTCTCCCACTCAAACACCTGCCACACATCCTGCTAGGAGCCAACGAGCTCTTCTTTATATGCAAATTCCCACCCCTGAAAGGGAGACTTCAATCAGAACCGGTGTCTGAGTGAAGACAATGATCTTGGGACAAGGTGGGAAGTGAAAGCAGTACCTCCAGGGGCTGGGATGGTGGCGGCACCAAGGCAACTGGGAAGCAGAAACACTGAGAAGCGGGAGTCAGTGTAAACACAATGAGAGCCTGTGCCATAAAGATTCGCTAACCTGTTCTCTTCCCAGTGAGGTAACATGACTACTAAGAGGAGAGACATGGGAGGGAAGACCACCGTGTGAGGATGGGCAGAAACTGGAGTTATGCTACCACGAGGCAGGGAACACCAGGGCTGCCAGTAACGCTGGAAGCTGGGAGAGGCCTGCAATTCTCCTTCAGAGCTTCCAGCAGGAGCTAACCCTGCCAACACCCTGATTTCACACTTCTAACCTCCAGAACTTCGAAAGAATAAATTTATGTTGTTTTACACTAAAAAAAAAAAAGATGGAATATGTATATCTGGGAGACACTGGCAAGGCCAAATATCCAATATGTATTTTTTAAGAAGCCCTAATTAAGATCCTACTCTGGTTTTTAAGACCATAAAAAAAAGTCATCTTTTTACCTAAAAGTTAAATCTCATCAACCATCCGAAACTGTCTATTTTGGAACATTTATGTCCAAGTTAAACATTTAAAAGCAAGAACATCCCTTCAAGTACAAAATAATCTGCTATACACTTGAGCAGGGCCGACCTTTTGGACATATGGAAATAGCTTAGCAACTATATTGTCCGATATGTTCTCAGCAGTCACCAAGGCAGACACGATGGTAGAAGCATAAAAAGTTAAGAGAACCCTCAACTGAGCTGAACTCCCAGGATACTCAGCAAAAACCTGGAACAAAAGCACAAACAAAACA